TATATATATATATATATATATATATATATATATATATATATATTTGCTGTTTATATTTTTAATCTCATGCATGTTGTACATTTTATACCGAAATAAATAAATAAAAATAATATCTATCTATGCGGTAGAAGTAGTACCGTAGGGTTTATATTTCTGGTTCATATTCTGCCTCACATCCCCTACACTATGGAGTGCCCCAAGGTTCAGTTATTAATCCATGTTTATTCAGTCTGTACATTTGTACACTCTTTTGATCCCAGCAATGCTAGCAGCACTGTATTCACTTTACAGACCTTATCCCTGATATTCAGCAGTGGTTGTTGGGCAACAAACTAAAGCTGAACGAAAATAAAGGCGCTATAAGTAACACGTAATAAGTAAGTCTTCGCTTCCTTAGATCGATGAACCGATAGGCCTGAAGAACGCACTTTCGTACATACATTTCTACGACGTCGAACCAAAAACAGTGTATTAAATTCTATTTAATTAAAGGCAAGCCCCCACCCGGATCCGCCACTGGCTATCCATCCTCAGATTAAGATGTTTTCAGATTTCTTTATTAGGCTTCAACTTGCTTCAACTTACTCTATTATAATACTGAATTGCGAGGGGGAACATAGCTGGCGTTGGGAAGAAGTCAATAATTTTTTTTTCGAGGAACACTGCTTTGAAAAAGCATTTTTACCATCTCAGAGTGCCATTTCCGAGAGTCTAGAATGGCGTATTCTTAAAATTTGCTCGAGAAAAAGTGACCTCTAAAATTGATTAAATAAGCCTTTCAAATCCCTAATTGTTGGAATTTCCAGGTGATTCGCTCTTTAGAATCCCTCTTGAGTTGTGCTTGGCCGTCCTAGGTCCCTGCCCACTTTGCCGTCTGGAAAATCAGCCTTTCCATCTGGGATACTCCCTCGTCAGGGACATCGGCCAAATAAGTGTCATCGCACCCACACCCTTCCTTCACTTGATTGGAACTTCAAACCACCGTCGAACAATTCCAGCACCACGACTGTGATTCGGCCGAAACATAGATCCGCTTTATCACAGGTAGGCCAGGCTGTCCGGGGGACCGATTTTGGCCCGGACAAATTTTGGCGTGACAGGCCTATTTCAGAATGAGAGAGTGATATTGTAATTAGTTGTTTGTTTGTTCAGTGACGGATTTCCCCCAGCAATGTAAAGGGCTTCATAAAATATATTTATTAATAACAATTATTTTAAATATATAAGTTTTTCTTTACTTGGACACCATGAAATACTACATGCTACAGGTCCATGCATTTATGGCCTATTAACTCGTCACACACTCATTATCAGCTCATCACTGGCTGATGAGGACGCACTATTACTTTTTCTTCATCTCTGACAGCTGCAGAGAGGCAGCGAAACTGTTTTTCAGAGTGATGCCAAAGATACTAGAAATACAAGATGGAGCACTCGCACAGCAAAATCTGGCGGAAATTGGTCCAGACGTGCGCGGCGCCCTTCTCTTTTTATAATGCAAGTTTTCTATACTTGGTCCAGTCGTGTAGGGCGCCCTTCTGCTGCTTAGTATACCCAGACGCACACGGCGCCCTTCTTTTTCCATTATGGAGGAAAACGT